AACTCCCGTACTTACTTCATATTTCCTCGTTTAAATGTGTCCGTCTTGATCTGTTTGCGTAGAGAACAGCAGAAACGGATCATTTTTTGATAATGGCGTCATTTTTCATCGCTCATGTAAATAATTTTCGTCAGTACAGTTCGTTGTTCCTTGTGGTTCTATCAGTCTTATCCTGCCTTCTCATGATCGGTTTCCAGAAAGCCTCGGTTGCTTTTTTGAGCGACTAGGATTCTTCTGGTTGTAACTGGCCCCATGCATGAGTTCATATATATATATATATATATATCAGTTTGAGATGAATTACTGAGGATTAGCGTTGTTAATCTATATTTGAATTCCCTTAGCTGGGATAAGTAGGTTAAACAGGATTCAAACAGCTTCAAAACTTCGTTTTAATGAGAATTATAATGTCTGCTGAGCTCTTTGTGAAGTTTGGTAAGTGGTCAGTTTCGTGGAATTTACGAGTGAACAAAATCATCCCTTGTGGAACAAAGTCCTAGATCTTCAAGATAGGCATGAGATGGTCTCACTTAAGATAAGAAAATCCACAGAGATCTGGGTGAGAATGCTCAATGTGAAATTACCTGAAGAAAAGCCCTCCCTGAGGTCTACCTCCATTCCAAATGGCACCCCTTCACCTGTACCACAACAATTTTTTTCAGGAAAACATTCTAAACAGAACTAAACCCCTCTACAACGAGCATGGTGATACTAAAATTATGGTGTTCTGACGAAAAAAAGTGACTTTAACCGGATTGCTTCAGGGATCATTATCCTAGCTGAAAAACGCAAGGGTGAGGGTAGGTTGGCTGAATTTAAGCAAACGGTTTGTTTCAGTAAGGTGAACGAAACCACGCCACTACAACCTACATTCTGATTCGAATTTGTCAAAGAAAAGATGATGCTGCGTTGAGCTTTCGTTGTCAGATTCACTCCATATTTTGATGCTTATTGCCTGGCACTCAGTTTTGTAAACTCTGCAAATGCCTGCTAAACTTTCTCCAATTTTACGAAATTTGGATATGTTGTTCCAGTCTCAAGCATAGTGACATATCATAACGGTGTGAAAACAAATTGCTTGAACCCTGGAGGAGAATCACGATACTCCCGATAGTAACCATCGGGATTAAGCGTGTGATGTGGAATAACTACCTAATTGAATGAGAAGCGCGTTTTTGGAGCATCTTTTCACTTTTTCTTTTCTTTTCACTTTTTTTTCACATTTCAACGTCCCATAATTCCGTATTGGATTATGAAACCAAGCGAACTTACCAGTTTTAATTTTCCTAAGCATTCATTACAAAAGTAGCTTTTGATCGCGTCAAACAGTGTAACTTTTCGCGCCTCAAAATTCACTCATTGAACACTAGTCGACATGGATTTTTATTATTTTACAAGTAATTGTTGTCATGGGATAGGTCAGTCATACATTTTGTTGGTTTTCTTTCCTAAGTACGAAAATGATTCCCCAGTCATCACGACTGGGGTTCGTGAGGGCTGGTCAAAACCTGTAAGTTCATGCAGTCTATGGACGTTTCAGTAGTTCGTGAGCAACGTGGTTCAGTGAAGCACACTACTACATATAGATTCAAAACTCCATAGGAACATTTGGCTCACTTTCGTACGCACTGGCACTGTGCGCGCAGTGTTTGGCAAACAATGTATGTATCTTGTTCTGTTCTTGTTTCAATACCAATCCTAATACCATGTGGCACTGCGTAGGCATAGACTGGAAGGACGTATGCGTCAAGGTTGTCACAAGTCTGGCTCAAGGTCACATATAGGAAATCGATCGGTAGCATGCTGTACACAAGTGCACCACTGGTAAGTTGTCCAACGTGCAAAGTGCTTCCCTTGTTTTGCATATTTTGGCAAGCTCGTATGTCATAGTTACATTTTTTGCCATTTTTACATTTACATTTTTTTGTGGCATTTTCTGCCCTTTTAGGAGGTCGAGGCGGTCTTACGTGCCCAAGAAATGCTACGAAATTTGATCGATCGTGCCAATACGCAGCTGGAGTAAGCAAACTGTAGATTTAGTTGGATTTTTTAATACAGCTCCCAAATCGATGCCTGATTCATTTTTTCCACAGTTTAAACCGTAGAGTTACGGATCTTCCCGGTTCAAAGCTGGTGGTCTGAATCAGCGAAATGTGATAAGACTTAGGGGTATTCGTAGACATTTTGCGGAAAACAGAAGGGAGTTTAGTGAGACTAAGTTGGCAAAACATCTGTCAGTTAAGCTCTGTGGTTCGTTTTCACGCTCTAGTGTGTCTTTTCGTTCATAGTGCATTGTTGATGTCGGTGTTTCAAGATATGTCAGACTGTTTTCCAATAAGTTACCTCAAAGTCCAAGGGACGCCTGGAAAGTAGCAACGTACAACCGACTGTAAAAGTCACATGTCGGATCCATCGGTAACGGAGATTCACAATTCTCATTCGAGAGGTTGTTTGAGCAACGTATTCATTCATCGGTTACCAACCGGAAGCGGAATTTCATCATCTTATGGATTGTTTCTGTTGATAAAGAAAGGAACTTATTTGCTGAGGAATTTGGTGAGTTAAAACAAAATATCGTAGATCGTAATCTAGGTTTTCAATGAAGACATATGGTTTGAAATGGTATGGGCATGTCCCGATAAACTAGATTCTGTTCTTTATCAACCGTCGATTTGAAGTCAAATGTGTAACCTACCAACCCAACTTCATACCTTTCTTTAGACTCAATCGTGCAGCTCAACACGAGATGGAGGTAGATCTGAAAAACAAATTCACCGCGCAACAACTAGATGAAACCGCGGTTGGAATGAAAAACAGCTCAGCTGGGGTGCACTACTACGAAGGAGTGGAAAATATTGAGCAATGGTGAGTTTTCATTGGAGGGAGATTTAACTGTTGGGCAGTTGAACATTGGTCAGATTTTAGACCTCTCCGCATTCACTTACTATCCAGTAAGTGTACTTCCTTTCAGGAACGGCCGGTAGTTGGCTTTACATTCAGGGACTGGACAAAGTATGGTTACACCTGTTGATGGAAGGACACCTAGAGTTTTCATAAAGGAAACCACTCACAAATTTGCTGAAAACTCTTCCAGGACACCTAGAGTTCTGTTTCAACCCGCTACGGGAAGGAGGTGCGATAAGCCCTTCTCAGAAGTACTCTCAACAAGATGAACTGTTCCAAATGCAGCTGTGACGTATCACCGCAAACTGTTTATGTTGTTGTCACCAGACAGGAAGTTGGAATCTTTGAAAGTGTTTCAAAACCAGACGAGGATTTAATGAATCTGTCGTAACCAGACCTTACCGAAAACAGAAAATGTCATATCATGTTCACCTTCCCAGGACCGCTGATCTATATGATGGCCAAACAGTGGTGTGCAGAGTGACGCTGAACGATATACTCAATCAGAGGTGACAACCGTACCGAGCTGTTCTCTGATACCGATATCCATAGTATTTATTCATTATAAATGCTGTCTTTGATACAGTCGACAGTTTTCTTCAAAAAAGAAACAAATAATTCAATGTTCACTTCCGAAATGAGTTTGTAAAAACCAAGTAAATTCCCTAGACCTAGAATGACTGTTCAACAGGAATGGGTGATGGGTTTTCAGCATGATGACACAAAAATAGCAGAAGCCGTAAATGTACCGATAAGCGGAACTAGCTGACTCACTCCCAGAAGGAATCTTCTTAAGGTCAGATAGAATCCGGTAAGGAAACATCAGCATGTACTTTAGGTCGTGTACAATGAGATGACGCTGGGCGGGCACTGGTGCAGACGGTTCTATGATTTGTGTGCAAACAGCAAACACCATGAAGGGTAGAGAATGTTTACAAACAATGAGCCCCACAATGAAGAAACATAGTGCGCACTGAAGAACCCTACCCTGTGGCATGTATAACCTTTTTGGATTCACAAGTCGTTGTAAATATTCCCCTATGCGACCGAAACCGAGATTGCTCTGGTTCATCCGATGAACCCTGCTGATGGTATCACGGCTTTCCAAACAAAGTGAGACGTGCATGTTGTCTGAATAAAACCAGGTTTTCCAGACGTGACGACAACAATTGCTGTACATCCATTCTTGGCGGTTTATCCGGTTGACGTTAACCTGGTCACCAAGCTTGGCAAATAGCCTACAAATGTTTCGTCACCAATCAAGAGGATATCACTAGTACGCGAATGATGATGTCACCTGGATTGGTGACACAACGTTTGCAAGCCAGTTGCCAAGCTCAGAATGCTTATCAACAACCGCCTGAACAGCCAGCAATGAACCCACCCAAGGAACTAATATTCCCTTACATACATGCTGAAGAACCCTACTAGCAGGTTATCATACTTCCCGAAATAAAAAAGAAACGAATGGATATTACTCGATATCGTTGATGGAGTGGACACGCTGTTGATGTTCAGACATAACGGCATAACAACACGTTGGTCATCATCATCATCTTCATTGTCAGCTGTAATAACCGCGTACTCGTCGTACAGTGGTTAATAAAACAATTTACCAGCGCCAGACATAAACATTGCATTCCATAAATTACATCTAAACTATGAGTGGTGTTCAATGTCGGAAAAATTGCATCATTCATGGAATTCACTGGCTTGAATGCTATGTCGAAACTACCTGCTTGTGTCTTGGTCGTGTGCAGTACAACGGTAGTAAGACGTTTATCGCGCTATCAACTAAACTCTGACAGTGCTACTCATTTAAGCGTTTGAAATATGCAGTTGGAGTTGGTCGAGACCGATTCAACAACAAATTTGCTTTCCGCTATTTACAAGACGATGAGTTTGACGGTCTCGTTCCAGTCAGTTCACTGAATTCAGTTCCTTCTGGAAGGTACTGCATATCATGTGATGGTTTATTGAGTGCTGTGCAGGCTTTGTTGGTTGTGCTCGTCAATGTATTTTTAGCAATGTGCCGGCTACCTTGATACGATTTATAACACTGCTGCTAGACTACTAATAATGTAATGTTATAATCACAAAGCTAATAACCTATAGCTCCAGATGAATGGCAGGTAATTTCTCCTGCTTCGTTAAACTGTTTACCGAGTTTGGTACAAGCTTTGCAAGCTTACGTCACCATTCGAGGAGACATTGTGTCCTCATTGTGACTAATCCAAGGTAGGGACTGTCCAATGAATGCCGCTGATACGCATCTAGTGTCCCTTGGCCGCTGTCATCACAGCCTGATTCAAAGTGATGCTGATTAACTTACCATTCGGACACAAGCCAACTCCGGTTGATTATCCATGCCCAGTTTGGCGAACGCATCAGTAACGAACTTCCGATTCTCTTTAACCATGAGAATGAGCTGTAGCATGACCAGCTGCTTGCTCGTTCGACTCAGTTTTCTCCACAAGCTTTTCAAGAAGTCAAGCTACAAAAAATTACTCGTCGTCTGTTGACTCGATTAGATTCCTAGCAATCATAGACTCTGTAACACCGGTTTTCACGACAGTCCTGTCTTTTCCTTTCACCCACGGAGTCAGTCAATCAGTTCCGGAAACCTGGAATCAACACGTACACAACATCGTTAGTCGCAGTCGGGCTGAGCGAGCGGCCAGTAGAAAATTGCGAGAGGACATTGGAAACAATCTGGCACAAATCGGCCAGTTCTTGGCCGAACGCTGGGCCGACGTGAATGCCGCGTTAGCACAACGAATTCGGGAGGTGACTGATGCTCGTAACCAAATCCAAGCCAGCCTGGGACATGTGAGTTGAGATTGTTTCCAGTAAGAGCCCGCTAATTTAGTGTGAGTTGTTTAGGTTAGGTTTATAACTCACTAAAAAATCCTCAATATTCTTTTCATTCAATGATTCTTTTTCTTATAATGGATTGAAGCATTCACATCGGATGTGTTTATAAGTATGTGATATGGTTTAAACTTCTCTAGCTATTCCATCTTGGATCGGCCGCAAAATCTAAAATTTCTCCTCTTCAAAACATGAACATTCATGTATGATACTAGATGGTTAATCCGGATACCAAGACGATTTGCTAAAATGCAATGCTAAAAAGTAAAACGAACCAAAGTTAAGCCCATGTTGTGGGTCGCTCAGACTCCGGTGCACGTTAGAGCAGAGGTAAAGTCATACGGATGAAATAATTTCTTTGTTATCCCTTCCTTCTCGTTTAATAGAAAGCACACATGGCCATATGAGAAAAGGTTTCTCACGTTGAACAAACTAGGTAGTACAATCAATGAAGTGGAATTTCGCACAGACCACCACTCCTGACCCCCGACATGATTGTGACAGAAAGTGTGGAGAACAACCACGCTTCGAAAGGCTTAGTTTGAAGGGTGATGAGAAGGGCAACTGAAAATTTCGCGTAATGCTGAGACCTGATAAGTTGCTGTGATGTTTCTCAAGTGAGTTGCCCACTCAAACACAGTTCGTCTAATAGTTCTGTTGTGCAAAGTTGGCATAACAGATGCATTTCCAGTGGTTCTGAATCACCTATGTAATTTCCTTTTGTGGTTGCAGTGTTTTGAGCGGGGAAACAACTCTAGACCGTGTTACTTTGAGTAGATGTGTGCATATATGTCTATTGAAAATACGAATAGGACACCAACACTCTCCGTTCATAGCAACTTGGGGGGTCCTGGCAAATTACACCGGATCTTGTGGACGGTCAAAACCGAGAGGAACAACATTTAGGATTAGGCGCTAGCAAATAGTTCTACTCAGGGCACACTAAATCAAAATAAGAATCTACGAATGAAATTCTATTTGTCTATCAAGGCGAATGCATCTGAGTTCCGGCATCACCAATTCTTTTCGTCACTGCCAATGCACTTCGGAAATTCTGGTTTTCGGAAATTACCATTTCCATTACCAAGATGGAGACTTGGGCGTTCCGTGATTCCAAAGTCTGCGTCGTAAATGGTAAATGTCAGTAGGCGCGATTGGATAAACCAAGCCCATCGTAACAGAACAGCGCTTGACCTGATGGAGTGCCAAATATGTCTAGAATGGACTGAATGTAGAAATGAATAGTTTTGGGTTGAATAACCTAATTCTATCGTTGATAAAGGGCAAACACACATTATGATGAACGTATCTGAGTAACATCGGTTACCTTTTCTGGATCGAGATATCTCAGTAATTAAGGCGTCAGATTACAATCCAGCAAGTCCGTGGTTCGAATCCAACCTCACTATCAAGATTGCTTCTGTCTAGGCTTGGGCAACGTGGCAATATCCCAAGCCTCGTGCCTCCTTCCTGTCAACTGGTTAGAGTTAGTACGCTGTAGTCGACTGAAACATAAAGAGACGCCCGTATAAGTTTTCAAAACACAACTCTTTGGCCCATGATGAATTAGGGATGATGCTGGTGGTCACAAGGCCTGTAAATTGCAGCCAGCGGGACACTGAACCACTAAGCAAGACACATATCTCTCCATCCTGCCGACAAGATTATCATATATATATATATATATATTTTGATATCAGAAATACACCAGCACACAATCACAAATGAAAAATTTTGGACGATGTTCCTTACAGGGATGAATGACGTAAGTTGGTTCTAATTAATTGCTAAATGGTCCGATGCTTATTTCAACTAAATTTCGTTCGACAGACGTTGCAAGAGATCTTCGACACGGAACGCGAAATCGAAGCTCTGAAAGATGCTATTCGAGCCAAAGAAGCCTACTTGAAAACGGCTACAAGTCGACTCAACATTCGTCTCCGACGTCCAGGCATGGAACACGTATGTGATGCAGCCCAAATGCAGTAAGTTGTCATCGTTTGAGCGACCACTTTCCAATGTGCATTCATCCACTTGGACACGCCTACCGAGAAAATACATAATAACGGCCGTAATACGGTCCTAACAGTTAAGTCCCCATAATTTGCACCAAGGCTAGTTCACCATATCACATACAGCTTCATAGGTAACACGTAGGTGAACGAGAACCAATATCGGTCGACTGACTGACCACCCTGAGCACTGGATGCGTAACGCACCGGGTCACTCCGAGTTCGAACGACACAATTTGAAGTCAGTAGTCATGACTGGAATAGGTGGACACCTGGGTCCTCGACAAGTCTTATCAAGTAGTTGAATGATGAGGGACGGGTAAGGGTGAAAATGTTCCTGGGAATGCAACTGACAACTGCCGAGTTATTGAGGTTAGTTTGAACTCTATGTTTTGGCTGCTATGTGAATCGAAGTCATCCACTCCGAAACGATGACACCAGAACCGCATTACCACATGACATTTGATCTTTAATCGTTGATCAAAACGACCGTATATTCTGTCACAAAGAGAGATCTCATGTGCCGTGGTCCCAAACTGTACACACACACACACACACAATTCTCTCATTGTAGACTCAAATGTGAGGTGGCTCAGCTCAAAGATACGATTCGACAACTGAACGAACAACTGTGCCGCGCACAAGATGTGCTGCAAGAACTGCTTCGACTCCGCAGTGCCAAAGAAGCCGAACTGGCCGTGAAGAACAACAGCATTTTCATTGATCGCGAAAAGTGTCTGGCCCTGCGAAGTAACTGGCCTGGTGGACCGACAGCAAAGGCCTCCCACGGAGCACCATGCCCCTGCATCTCATCCGACATTTCGTCTGCTGCCACCAAGATTTGCGCCTGCTAATACTTTCGAATGCCCCCAGCTTCAGTCAAAAGCGATTCGAGTATCTTATCTACTTGGAACACCCGCATAGACCACCTGTCGTCGCTGTGTATGCTTGTCGTACATCCATCGCGACGTATGTTTTGTTTTCAAATACCTCACCTACTGCTCTATTAATCACGCATATGACCGTATGGTGAAGTCGTGAACGATAAACCTATTGTACGAGTGTCATGCGTTTTGTACCAACCAGCAAATGAGCAATGTGGTATAGGGGTTGTTAGGAATTTACTGCAAACATCACCAAATGATCATACATGACCACAGCTTGTTCACGATAGGCCATCTCGATGTTTTTCCTGGGTTGATGTCGTAGGAATATTAAATTTCCCATGCACATCTGAGGATTACTTAATGCTGACTAAGAGTGTGCTCTAATTCGGCCGATTATACGAATTAGTGTGCGAAGGTAGCGAACTCCCAAGTAGGATATTCGATTTGGCATTACTGTACTCTCCAAAACCCCAATTCTCGCTTAATAAGTACGGTTAGAGCTGACTGAGTGTGTCTGAAAATTTGCGGTTCAGACAACATTAGAGGAAGCACAGGGATTCTGTTCCTCCAAATTCCCAAGCTCACTTTGAGATAAGCAATTTATTGATGGTTTATTCGTGCAACAGCCACACAACATGTATAAAATTCAACTGAATCTGTAGTCACGGCCAATGTACCTTCACAGGCGTCCGAATATTACCAGAAAATCGACATTCCGTCGTGTCACTGGCTCTCAACTTCGTTCATTTCTGAAGCATCAGACACATTTTCGAAGCGTTGAAGATTTTCTATCCATGTCATTAGTGGGGATAAACCGTGTTCAGAGAGATAAGGAAGAAGAAAGAGGAATTGTTCAAATTTCAGAATGACAAACTGGTAAACCGGCGAGTTTTTTTTATAATTATACCCATTCACTGAATACACTGAATATGGGGGAGGGAAATTCTCTCAGAAGATTAGTGAACCACCTTACTGCCCCGTGTGCTTCTATTAGTGCACAGGTAGTGGTGATAGCCATAATACAAATCAGAAGGTGCATGTGCACTAATAGAAGTTTTTAGTATTTCTGTGACACGTATAAAAATAAATACAGTGCGAGGATGGGAGCAAGTCAAAAAGGGAACTTATCGGATGCGAGAGTCCCTTGGTGGAAGCCCGGACGGCGGGAACGTGTTTTCCTCCGCAGTTCGACTGCTACACGTACTCCATGGTTGTCCGTGGACTTGCGGAGAGGTTGACGTCCCGCGCCCTGCGCGCGCGCGAGTCTGTGTGTCTTGACTGGGTTTGGTTTCTCTTTATGTAGGTCCCAGTGCGTAAATGTGGGCGCGTCGGCACATGATTGGTCGCTACGCTGACTAGGCGGTGCAGACAATCGATGTCCGATGAGTCAGCTTAATGCGACGTGTTTGTGCGTATGAGAAAAAAAGACAAGCCTCGCGATCCAGTGAGCGGCTGAGTTGAACAGTCAAGTATGTGGGTGACTGGGTCGCTACAAGATCACGCATCGTTCATAGTCACATCAGCTTCGTTTGAATAATCGTCCTCCTGTCCACGCGCAATCATCCTGGTGAGTTGACTGTTTGACAACTTCATATAGTGGGAAGTGCACCTAACTAGCATCTCCTGTAACGAACACGTAGTTCATGCAGTCAGTCAATCAATCAAGCTGTGCAAACCACTTGCTTCCATACTAAATGATCTGAAAGTGAGATTCAACTAGGGCTGGGCAGAAGCACTCACCGGGCAATGAACCTCACACAAAAGTCCGTGTAATCGATCAAATATGGTACCAGTTTAGTTGCTACTGAATTATTTCGTCTTAGAAAGTAACGGCTCACACTAGCTGTGATGTCGCTGCTTCCTAGATGAACGGTAATTGATTCCTCAGCAGAACAGGCAAACAACGACCAGGTTCAAAATGTAACCCGTTAAACAGACTACAAAATGAGTGCCTACCCAAAAGCGCAATGACTATGCCTTCCGCTATGCCGACAAAACACTAGGCAAGTCACTTGTCCAGCTAGAAGTCGGTGAGTGAGATTGCGATCCAAATATCGTGACTGAGTCGATTCTTGAGTGGTTGAGTAAATCTTCTGCCTCAGGGATGACTTGGTAGCCTCATGTACCTGCGTGATGCTAAATTTAAAAATAGACTAGCTGACTATTTTCCAGTTGGATGGACTGGCGATTTCGCCTTGAAAAACCATTAAATGAGTCCCTTTCAAAAGCTTTCAATCTCAAGGAAGCTTCCGTTGAAAATGGGAATATAGACAGCTCCCAGTTGACTCGTTCATCTGTAGTGCCATTTAGATGCCTAGCTGCCGTGCCACCCGAAGGAAGCAAGAGGATTGGAATACAGACAGGGTGCCTAAGGCTAGACAGGAACAACCGACATGCTGAGGTTTTATTGCACAAGTCATCATACACTACCTAGAAGGATGCCGAAAACACATAGACACTTCACAACCGGTTTCGCTCTTCCTGGAGCTCGTCAGCTAGCCAGAGTCCCTCAATCCTTGTTAATCTCATGTTCTACTTGAACGCGAATTTGAAAGATTGAGAAAAATATTCTCAGCTGCATGCGGATGAGGTTGTGACGGCACACTCCACCGAATCCATTCCATGGTCTCTTTTATGATGGTTCGCTCCAGTTGAATGTGCTGCATCAGGTCCTCGGATGTTCCGTTTAGAATAACATTCGAAGTACGTTCTGTTTACACGAAACAAACTCTTCAGAAGTTAAACCCTTTGGTAAACAGCTGTGTCAAAAACAAACTGGTCAAGATCCAATCACACTCCCGTGCACTCAACTATGTCATTCACCCACCAGAAGCCGCGTCCATTCCTTCAGTGAAATGTGAAATGGAAGGTTATGTAGGAGGTGATGGTTGATACGTCCAATTGTTCGGTACCGAATACGGCGGATTTTTGGTAAGCTAAGTTGGCGTTGTTGTGGCAGGTTTGCTCTAATTAACATTTTGAAATACCCCGAAGACTAAATCGAATATGCTTCGCAACTACCGCCTTATGTTCCAGTTGGCAGGAGGCTCGAGATTTAAGGTACTGACAAAAAGTGCCAAGTTTTAGCTTCTTGAGAACTCTTCGACAGCTCAGGACCGGATTCGTAACTCTATGGGCTAATCAAGTAGGCTTAATCTCGGAGTTTCCGTCAACCCGATCTTCTACTTGAACCCAAATTGCACGCGATTCAGCTGGATTTATTAGTGCCTCACGTCAAAGCCACATTAGTTCGCAAATGATTTTCATACATATGGTCCTACGACTCATCTCTAGGTACAAATACTCCAGTATTATTGGAGTGCGATACCTCGTGCCATTCAGTTGGGATCCGCATAATATGTCAGGCGTTCTGTAGTACCGTTCGGCTAAGTATCGCAGCGAGTTTACATTTAAAGTGAATCACGAGTCACTCAACCATCCACTCAAGCATCCATCAAACGTGTCGTTCACGTCATGCTATCTGAGTAAGGGTTTTTAGGAAGTAAAGTACCGTACACCAATCGCCGATTCGACAATCAAGCAGCCGAACAGCGTAGAGTGATGATAATCGTTCGAACGGGTATCCATGCCATAGAAACAAGATCAAACCACAACTCAACGCCGAAAACACAACCTAGACTCAACTTTCAAACTGATCTTTTTGTATTTTGGTATTCACCTGTTCAAGATAAACAAAGTGTGCTGTTGTATATCTTTGTAATCTACTACTCATAAGGTTGCTGAAAATCCGTCGACAGCCCACGAGAACAGCCTGAGAACATCATAAACGAGAGATTTAGCTGGGTTCCAGGTGAGTCTCTTGAAAAAACCAAATTAGTTTGCAAATTAATGTATATTCGCGAATTTCGTGCAATTTGGTTTCAAGTAGAACATAAGGTTGACGGAAACCCGGGGACTGCGCCTACCTGCTGAGCCCAAAGTGGAAGGGCGAAACCGGTCGTGGGCTGTCGACGGATTTTCAGCAACCTTATGAGTAGTAGATTACAAAGATATACAACAGCACACTTTGTTTATCTTGAACAGGTGAATACCAAAATACAAAAAGATCAGTGAAGGTGTGCTCTTGCCTGGTGAATCTTCTCCACGCGGTGTTTTTCTGGAAGTGGGATTGCAGTTTGCCACAACATTCACGTACTGTTTGCTCGCAAAGTTCACCTGCGCCAAGTTGTATGAAACTAGATATCCGTTGAACCAAAGTGATTCTAGTGCTGATGACGATCAAGTAAGTGGAGGTCATTCTTCCTCTCCAATATAATCAAGACACAAGGAGTACTGAAAGCGGTATCGTTGCTCAAGAGACGTTACTAACTTGTTGCCAACAGTGTGAAGAGATAAACGGCCACAGACTTGAGCTAACAGGTCGCTTTACTGATGTCATCGGGCAACTGGTTGTTCAGAGCCATCAACTGGGGTATGCATGATATACGGCGTGCCTTACTGTGTGCAAACATGTATCTACTAAGACGGCAATCTAATCCTGAACGATCCTAGTGAACAGTTGTTGTGCACGTGTGTTGTACACGTGTAAAGTCATCCTGACGAGGTCGTAGCCATTCATCTCAAATTTAGTTAGGCACAGAAAAGACGATTCGTCATGTTAGAACACGACGGAAACCACGGTTATATGTGGCAAAGCAACACGAACAACCCTCAGGTTTTCCGCTAAAAGTCTATCGTATCCCTGAATGTACTTTGCGACGATGCACATGTTACTCACGAACACACGCAACATTGACAGATGTCCTGATGTCAACGGTGTTCAATGATTCTCTCCACAATATATATATATATATATATATATATGCATACATGCATATGTTTATAC